CGGTCGGGAAACAAGAAACACAACATTTTTTCGTAGGCCTAAGGCCACACCAATTTAATTCTTGGTTAATGGATTTTTCTAGAAAAAATAATGGAGCGGGCGGACGAAAAAAATATAAAAAATAAAAACAGGCCTAGGCATCCTATTATGGCCCAAAATGGTACGTTAGGAGCCATGAAGTAAAGACACCAGGCTGGTTCAAAATCTAAACAATAAATTTTGAACTTTTAATTATACCATCGCATTGAAAGATGGAATAACTGTAACAACTAAGATGAAAAGGACTGTTTTCAACTGTTCAGGGCAAAATATGAGCATTTTGCAGTTGATTCTGAATTTTTATTTTTATTTGCAAATCAGAAAAAAATGAAGCGGGCGAATCTGTTAACCAAGAAATTAAATTGGTGTGGCCTAACCACAAAGCCACCTAAGCTTGCCACCTTGTCTGATAAATGCCAGCCTTAAGTTAGAAGCTGTGGGGGAGGGCGGGGTCTAGCTACTCAAACATAAACTCCCCCCTGGCCAGAACAGCACGTGAAGACTGAGGTAAATTTTACCCAGTGCTTAAAGGGAGATCTCCCATAAAACATACCAGTTCATACCAACCTATATTTTACAGCAGTAACATTCAGGCAGCCCGAGGCTAACTGAAATGGCTCTTTGGTGACTCACGTGTCTCCTTCTGTACAAACCAACATGACTACCATGATACCCACTTGGCCAATATATCAAAACTGAATGGCTCTGGGGGGCTTCTACATGCAGGATTGTAATTGGCAAGATGGGGCTTTCCTCTAGCCACTCTTTGGCAAATCTAAGCAATTTTTCAAGACTAGATTGTCTGTTAGCGTTAGTGTTTTAGTGTTAGTGTTAGTGTTTTAGTGTTAGTGTTAGTGTTTTAGTGTTAGTGTTAGTGTTTTAGTGTTAGTGTTTTAGTGTTAGTGTCAGTGTTTTAGTGTTAGTGTCAGTGTTTTAGTGTTAGTGTTTTAGTGTTAGTGTTTTAGTGTTAGTGTCAGTGTTTTAGTGTTAGTGTCAGTGTTTTAGTGTTAGTGTTTTAGTGTTAGTGTTTTAGTGTTAGTGTCAGTGTTTTAGTGTTAGTGTTAGTGTTTTAGTGTTAGTGTTAGAGTTAGTGTTAGTGTAAGTGTTAGTGTTAGTGTTAGTGTTAGTGTTAGTGTTAGTGTTAGGATGGAACCCATATACACTGAAGTGAAATATGTCTTCCATTTTTTTTCTTCAAGTTTTCATTTATGAGAAAATCTTCATACATGTATATATGATGGATTGAAGTTTGGAAAATTAATAATTGTATCAGCAGGGAAATCAGAAATCCCAGGGGATGCAAACTTCATAAACTTATCAATAAAGGAAAACATATTTTAGATGATGCATTGAATCAGTCAGCATATCTAAATCTTTTAAGCCTATGAAAAAATAATTTGCATAAGGAAATTATTTAACCTTTTCACAGTGAACAACAATATCTGCTGAGAAAACAGTTTTCATAGACAAAGTTAATCTGTCCTTGAAAAAAATCTAGTATTTGTGTAGAGTATTTTATTCATACCTGACATTAAATGCACTTCAGCCATGCCTTAAGCATAATTGTGCATATATGTACTAGCTATTTGATAAAATTGGAATGACTTCGAAATCCTGAGTGACTGTTATTTTCCAATTGACTTTCCTAGTGTCAAGGCTAATCAAAAGGACCCTCTGTGATTGGCTGTGCTGAGAGACTTGCAGGGTAGGGCTGCGGACCGGTACATTGTACCGGTCCAATACCGTAAAAATCGTTTCGGTACAGGTCCAAAATACCGGATCATGAAGTAACGAGTATATACCGAAATAGCTAGTTTACACCATGTATATGACTAAAGATAGGTAAATCCTACCACAAAGACGAAAAATTAGCACTGGAAAAGACGTAAACACCGTCGATTGATTTGAGACCCTTAGTCTCACGAGACATCGCGAGAGTGTGGCTGATCCAGGGTTGTGATAAAGATACTGACAAGTTGTCAACACTTTATTATTGTTTCTGTGTCATGATTGAAAAAGTGAAGAACACGTGTTAATTTGCCAAATTGTTCAGGTACAGGTACAGGTCCGGACCTGTACCTAAACCTCTGTACCGGTACCTGTACCTGTACCTGATGTTACGTTTAGGTACGCAGCCCTATTGCAGGGTTAACCCATGTACTGAACGGATGATCCTGTTTGATGATTTTCTGGTCACAAACGAGATCCAATGATGAGCTTTCTCATTTTTCAACCTGTCGTTTACATAAATAGGGCTTAATTCAATCTCATATACAATCATTATGGTATTCAATGGTTTCCAAATTGTTAAAATGTGCCACACCAATTCAATTTCTTGGTTCTCAGATTTAGAGAAATTCTAGTAATGCTAAACTGGAAAATCAACATGAAAGTCACTCTGTTTTAGGATGTTAATGTAGTTAGATTCATCTTTAAGTTTTCCTCCCAACTCTTCATTTGTATTGTGACCTCTTGCAATATATTTTACTTTAAAATCTTTGAGAACCAACAAAATAAATTGGCATGGCCTAAAAACACCCCCAGCAAGAAGAAACTGAGTGAAATTACTCACCTAGCCATCCTTTCCTCTGGTCAGTGAGACAGAGGTCACGCTCAGCACTGGGCAGAACGAATCCAACCACGAATATTTCCACTCCGTCTGCCGCCAGTCCCAAGCCCAGGGCAGCAAACAATGTCCACTGGTACCTCCCGAAGCCTGCCTCTTGCAGTGCGTTCTCATAGTCATGTGCAAGTTGGGTGGTAGGGGAGAGATCCGGTACCACGTCTTTGGGAGGTTTGATTGGTTTTGTCGTATCAATGTCCTTTTCCGGGTCCTTCTTCAGCTCTCCGTCTAGTTCAGGCTGGGGTTGTGTGTAGGAGCGGTTCCCCTCCCGATCCACCAAGCCCAGCTTCTCCGACTTTGAGAATTCGTTCTCCATGTTGGGTTTGGGGATTGAGAACGCAGCCTGCAGTGAGTGTGGGGTAATGAATAATTGATGCGGCGTTCCTCAATAATGGGCGCTGAATTCACAGTGGGATTACAGCTCTCCGTAATGTCATCCCAAAACTCATTCCCGTCAGCCACAAATCTTGTTGCCCCGGTAATTTTGCCGGCGACTCCATGCAGCGATGGCTCAGCTGAGCAGACTGGTGGAATATCCGGGCAGCTCAGAGCGGCAGGCTGCTCCGCTGCATCTCAATCACGGACAGCTGATGGTAGATAAACCCCCACGATTGTAACCTTCCTCAAGGATGAGGCGTCGCAGCGATGCATACAGACGACGTCTCAGATATGTGGCTCTGCCACGACAACTATTCCCTCTTCCTCCCAACACTTGTAATTTGCAGCAATCCAACTAACGAAGTCCTTTCATTGGGGGTAAAAAAATTCTCAATGTGACCTTCTCCAAGGGCAGGATTGCAGTGATTGAGGCCGTGGAGCTTTTCCGATCAGAATTCTCTGACGACGTAATCCCCCCTCTCCCTCACAGTTCAAACTCCTGACGTTATCGCCCTGCGACTCGCTCCAGCCCTTGCAGAACTGACGTGAGGTTGGTTGCGGGAGCCTGCTATCCTGCAGGAGAGAGAAGGAGAGGTGATTACGGTGTGCAGGGGAGGGCGGTCGCGCGTGAGAATCCCCGCTTGACGTCACGGCTCCCCCGGGAAACCACAAATCTGCCGGGCCTGCTGGGATACCTGGCAGGCAGCAATAAGTTATGCCATCAGGGTGGTAAATATCACCCTGCTCACCCCCATTTGGGAAGTCAAAAGGTCGATAAGAGCTGAGGTGGACTGGTCCACTTTGCTGGTACAGGGTAGGTTAGGGCCTGAGGCATAAACAACAGAAATCCATTCATCATCTGGATAAGCACATTTGATACTGGGCTACATGCAAAAATACAGGCCTAAATAAATCTAATTATGGTTACAGGAAATACAATTAAAAATGTAATTTTGGCATCAATACTCATGACACAAAGACAGTTTTGATATTAGCTTCAAGCAGACATAAGTCTAAAATTTGATATATGAAATACAGCTACATGCTTAATGTATGTATAAGATAACTATCAAGGATACATGTACATCAATGAATGATATAGATAATTATTTGTATGTCTCTTATTCAAATCATTAAAGATTAAAGCAAGGGAGGTCAAAAATAAACTGTTTTGGGGTTGAAAGGGGAAACATTTAATAGCTTGAAATATATTATATACTAGAAAGGCCAATATTTGCTTTGGAGCAAATACAGCGATGGGTTCACCACATTTTACGACGTCATGGCAGGGAAAGAATGAGAAACACAAGGGAAAACAATGATTTACATTGATATAACTATAATATGAAGTAACATACAACTAAAACAACAGTTGGATAGCTATTCCCTACTTTATTGGTTAGGATTTTTAATTGCATAATGCAAACTGTTGATTTTCAAAATAAATAAAAAAACGTTCATGCCCCGCATTCCAATGCTGGAGCAGAAAAGCTTGAAATACCTACCAAAACACTTGAATAAAGACATACTGTCAGTATGGAAATCTCTGTGCAGGTGTTAATCAAGTTAAATTCCAACAGCCAATCAGCAAGAAATGCTCTGTGCAGGTGGAAATGCTCTGTGCTTGTGTTAATCAAGTTAAATCCCAACAGCCAATCAGCAAGAAGTATAGAGGAAAGCTGCATGCCTATTGGTTGATGCCCTGCATTCCATTGTGATGACTCATGCCCAGACATGTAAACACGGCATACTAACACAGTAATACATTTGCTATAACACAGCCAAAAAACTCAAATAAAACCATTCTAAAAGCCTGTATCACAATAATTTAAAAAACGCCTAGGGGTATTTGCCCACTGTACCTCCATACCAAATTTCAGGACCTTGGGCCCTAAAATGAAGAAGCTGAATCCATTTAAAAAATGGCAGGAGGAGAAGGAGGAGGAGAAGAAGAAGAAACACCAGAAAAAGCAATATGGTTTCACCACACCACTTCGTGTGGAGTGAAGACAAATTTGTCTTCACTTTATTTGCATATCAATAAACAGGTTGTACTTAAAAACCTGCTTTCCCCTCTGGTCTCTCAGTCACTGACGAAAGCTAGTGGATACTAGCTGAAACGTCTGACGTTTTCAAAATCATATCCAGTTGCTTGAGTAACTGTTTTTTGGCGTAATATACAGACTACTTTTAATCTATCTACTTTTGTTCATGTCCCTCTAGCCTTTACAAGAGAGCCCTACATGTATATTTCAATCATTGCAGACTTTTATGGTCATTTTTTATGACACAGTAGAGATTTTCAGTCCTGTTTTATATATCAGTGTGATTAATCCTATACCTAGACAGAAAAATCCAACCTCAGAACAAGATTAACAACGTTATTTCTCTAGTGGCTGTAAATATGGGTGTCCCTCACTTCGCCGAACATGAAAACATTGCTTACGGGTAGAAGAATCATCAAGAGACACACAAAATTAATTAAGCTCCAGTCATTAACGACAAGGAGGTAATTGATGATGATGACAATGGCTGAAAATGCGTGTAGCCTCCTCTTGGAAATTAATTTGCCTCTGTGTGGAGATTCATTGAGCAGAAGGCCATACCAATGTATTATGTGGTTTCTCTGTTGGAAGTCAAGTGAACACTTTAACAGCATGTTGGCAGAACATACTGCGCCTGCGTGAAAACAGTTTTTTTTCACGGTTATCATCGGATTTTTGGCCAACGTTGCGTCAGAATTTTGCCTGTTGCAGAAGACATCTTTTCCGGCTTAGCATTTGGAAACTACAGACAGGATGCTAACCTCATATGCGCAAGTACGACCTTATATGAGATGTTCTGATGAAGTACTATGCACAACACATTACAGGTTTTGTGCAGGTGCAGTACATTCTGCTGACGTGCTCAGTTTAGCCTTCTTCCTGCTGTCTAACACCAAAATCTGCAGAGAATTTGTTGCCAAATAGCTATACTTTAGTGTGCTAAAGGTTAATGAGCACTGAATTGGACAAGCATGAACAAAGGGACAACTTTTGCTGGAATTTGGGAAAAAAATTTTTACATTTCCTATTCTTGTCTTTTCTACATGCAGAGGCATGGTCCTAAACACATTTCCAAGTTAAAATCTGTAAATAAAAAGCTGGAAAATAGCATTTTTTTCTGTAATATAAGCAGAATTGAGGACTGTTTTGCTGACAATATGACATACTGCTAATGGTATCAACTCCCTTCTCTAATTGAATTTCCTGAGGATTATTGTTTTCAGCTACATGTAATTGCATCAGAGCCTTAAACCTGGCAAACCACAAGCAATACTTCATCTTAGACCACACAAATTTGATAACTTGTTCCATGAGTTGGTCTTTTTTCTGATTTGGTGTAGACGCAAATTTACCACTCAGGACAACATCAAAACATAATATTTTGTCCCACATTATTAAAAATATCATCCTAGTTCTTCCAATTTTTTCATTTATCAATGCATCAAATTTAAGTTTGAAACTTCTACATGTATGTACAATATGGCAACCAGACCGATGTGTTGACTTCTTAGCAGTAGTTCTTTTTTCTATTTTGATCTGCCCACTTCATAATTTTTCTCAAAAAGTCTGAGAACAGAGAAATTGATTTGGTATGGCCTCATGCAGCATCTATACAAATTGTGTACTTCAACTTGGCTGGGCTCCAGCACTGCCCCACATGACAGATCTATCATCTGCCACTGTGCACATTTCGGTCGGCAGCCGACAACTCATCGTCATCTTGAACCATGATTGTAATGCGCATCCCTCTACAACCTTCATGAAGGTCATCTAGCTACTGGCCATGCCGTCAATGTCCACATGGACCATTTTACGAGATTTAATGTCAGAGAAAGTGCCTGTATATTTTTAATGGGCTAATACTTGTAAAGACAAGGTACAAGCACTGATTTAAGCAAGGGATATTTTTTACATAAAATGCTATTGAAGATTTCAACTTGGCATGCCTGGCCATGCTTGTTACAGTTTAATTTATCCTAAAAGAAAGCCGTATCAATGTGAATAGTTTGTAGCTTACACATAACATACAGTAAGTCCTAATTCTAGGTAACATAAGAATTCCTCGCGATCGTGAAAGAACTGAAGTTAAAGAGATTTTCTAATTCAGTATCAGTAATCCGCAATGTATGTATAGAAATTCAGGTGTTAAAAAATCATGAGAAGGCCTTGGTGACACATTTTTAAATGTAGTGTTCCTATGTGGTAGAATTATCTTAGTAGACCTTGCCTCTGTAAAATACTAACAGTCAAGACACCAATGTCACCAGGGACACAGTGTACTGGGAAACTGATGACCTAAATCCATAATTTATTCATGGTTTTCTATTATTGGACAGAACTGAGATTTATCATGGCTGCCGGGCAAAAACAACGTCTCCCAATATCACTGCAGCATTGGACAATTGAAGAGATGAGCAGATTTTTGAAGGCATTAGTAACAAGATTTTAGAGGAAGAATTACATTATTATTTCTTTGAGTCTGTGGTAACTAAGCCAATTTGATGTTAACACAATACCACATAAAGAAATATTTTTCTCAAGCCAAATTGACAACATTCTAGCAAGAAAAAATTCTAACATTGTATGAAAAATCCCTCTATATATTTAACTTGTTAGTCACATTTCAGTTGTCTGTATCATTCATTATCTATACACAATCAGACAACAGTAGTGCTACATGAAAGAGCAGCTTTCCGGATGTACACTTGGCAATCTGACCTCTGTCTGTACACCAATGTTAAACTGATACACTGTGTTCACTGGGGAAAACATCATGACGTCAACCCTTCTTTGTTGTTGTTATTCTCCAGATATATATACAATTGGATTAGAAATCCTGAAATTTGCGCGCAGATGCAGATGAACCATGGACATTTCAGAGTAAAAAATATATATGTTACATGTTTCTCAGCTAATTCTCAACTACAACCATAAAAATGTCAGACAAATTTGCATAGTATTATTAGCTACTAGATGCCCTTATTAGGCAAAGACCTACCAGGGCCCACTCAATACTGATAGTGTCAATCAATGCTGCATTTCCAAAAATAGCTTTTGACTTTGAAATAAAGACTAAGCTTCCAACACTTAGATTACAGAATTGGGACTTACCTCAAATTTTCCCAATTCTGTAATCTAAGTGTTGGAAGTTAAAGCTTAGTCTTTATTTCATAACGACGTACCAACACAGATGAACTTTCATGCTAAGCTTTTGACGATTCATCGATGCTTCATCTACTTGGAATTCTGACAAGACCTAGCTTGTTAAAGCTAAGTGCTTAATTGTTGTTTTCAGAACAATGTAAAGCCATAGGAGTATTTTCAGGATGTACCAACAAATCCATCATATGACAATGACAAATCACCCTGTGGCGTGATAGAGTCACTGGAGGGCATCAATTTCTGTCAGCCAACTCCCTTCCTGATCCTGTTCCCTCCACTGGAACGGGATATAAATGTGATGCCTAACAAATCTGGTGACTTGTTTATTAGAAATGTAATTTTTTCAAAAGAGTTTGAGGGCATAGC